TGAAGTTTTCTTTTCTCGTTGGGTCTCTGCCGGGTTTTGGTATCAGGATGATGTTGGTCTCATAAAATGATTTGGGAAGGATTCCCTCTTTTTGGATTGTTTGAAATAGTTTTAGAAGGAATGGTACCAGCTCCTCCTTGTGTGTCTGGTAGAATTCGGCTGTGAACCCATCTGGACCTGGGCTTTTTTTGTGAGGTAGGCTCTTAATTGCTGCCTCAACTTCAGACCTTGTTATTGGTCTATTCATAGTTTCAGCTTCCTCCTGGTTTAGGCTTGGGAGGACACAGGAGTCCAGGAATTTATCCATTTCTTCCAGGTTTACTAGTTTATGTGCATAGAGTTGTTTGTAATATTCTCTGATGATGGTTTGAATTTCTGTGGAATCTGTGGTGATTTCCCCTTTATCATTTTTTATTGCATCTATTTGGTTGTTCTCTCTTTTATTTTTAATCAATCTGGCTAGTGGTCTGTCTATTTTGTTGATCTTCTCAAAAAACCAGCTCTTGGATTTATTGATTTTTTGAAGGGTTTTTCGTGTCTCAATCTCCTTCAGCTCAGCTTTGATCTTAGTAATTTCTTGTCTTCTGCTGGGTTTTGAGTTTTTTTGATCTTGCTCCTCAAGCTCTTTCAATTTTGACGATAGGGTGTCAATTTTGGATCTCTCCATTCTCCTCATATGGGCACTTATTGCTATATACTTTCCTCTAGAGACTGCTTTAAATGTGTCCCAGAGGTTCTGGCACGTTGTGTCTTCATTCTCATTGGTTTCGAAGAACTTCTTTATTTCTGCCTTCATTTCGTTGTTTACCCAGTCAACATTCAAGAGCCAGTTGTTCAGTTTCCATGAAGCTGTGCGGTTCTGGGTCGGTTTCTGAATTCTGAGTTCTAACTTGATTGCACTATGGTCTGAGAGGCTGTTTGTTATGATTTCAGTTGTTTTGCATTTGTTGAGCAGTGCCTTACTTCCAATTATGTGGTCAATTTTAGAGTAGGTGTGATGTGGTGCTGAGAAGAATGTGTATTCTGTGGATTTGGGGTGGAGAGTTCTGTAAATGTCCACCAGGTTTGCTTGCTCCAGGTCTGAGTTCAAGCCCTGGGTATCCTTGTTGATTTTCTGTCTGGTTGATCTGTCTAGTATTGACAGTGGAGTGTTAAAGTCTCCCACTATTATTGTGTGGGAGTCTAAGTCTTTCTGTAAGTCATTAAGAACTTGCCTTATGTATCTGGGTGCTCCTGTGTTGGGTCCATATATGTTTAGGATCGTTAGCTCTTCTTGTTGTATCGATCCTTTTACCATTATGTAATGGCCTTCTTTGTCTCTTTTGATCTTTGTTGCTTTAAAGTCTATTTTATCAGAGATGAGAATTGCAACTCCTGCTTTTTTTTGTTTTCCATTAGCTTGGTAAATCTTCCTCCATCCCTTTATTTTGAGCCTTTGTGTATCCTTGCATGTGAGATGGGTTTCCTGGATACAGCACACTGATGGGTTTTGGATTTTTATCCAATTTGCCAGTCTGTGTCTTTTGATTGGTGCATTTAGTCCATTTACATTTAGGGTTAATATTGTTATGTGTGAATTTGATACTGCCATTTTGATTCTAAGTGGCTGTTTTGCCTGTTAGTTGTTGTAGGTTCTTCATTATGTTGAAGCTCTTTAGCATTCAGTGTGATTTTGGAATGGCTGGTACTGATTGATCCTTTCTATGTGTAGTGCCTCTTTTAGGAGCTCTTGTAAAGCAGGCCTGGTGGTGACAAAATCTCTGAGTACTTGCTTGTTCGCAAAGGATTTTATTCTTCCTTCACTTCTGAAGCTCAGTTTGGCTGGATATGAAATTCTGGGTTGAAAGTTCTTTTCTTTAAGAATGTTGAATATTGGCCCCCACTCTCTTCTGGCTTGTAGTGTTTCTGCCGAGAGATCTGCTGTGAGTCTGATGGGCTTCCCTTTGTGGGTGACCCGACCTTTCTCTCTGGCTGCCCTTAGTATTCTCTCCTTTATTTCAACCCTGTTGAATCTGACGATTATGTGCCTTGGGGTTGCTCTTCTTGTGGAATATCTTTGTGGTGTTCTCTGTATTTCCTGCAATTGAGTGTTGGCTTGTCTTGCTAGGTGGGGGAAATTTTCCTGGATGATGTCCTGAAGAGTATTTTCCAGCTTGGATTCATTCTCTTCGTCCCCTTCTGGTACACCTATCAAACGTAGGTTAGGTCTTTTCACATAGTCCCACATTTCTTGGAGACTTTGTTCATTCCTTTTTGCGCTTTTTTCTCTGATCTTGGTTTCTCGTTTTATTTCATTGAGTTGGTCTTCGACTTCAGATATTCTTTCTTCTGCTTGGTCAATTCGGCTATTGAAACTTGCGTTTGCTTCGCGAAGTTCTCGTATTGTGTTTTTCAGCTCCTTTAATTCATTCATATTCCTCTCTAAGGTATCCATTCTTGTTATCATTTCCTCGAATCTTTTTTCAAATCTTTTTTCAAGGTTCTTAGTTTCTTTGCATTGATTTAATACATGATCTTTTAGCTCACAAAAGTTTCTCATTATCCATCTTCTGAAGTCTAATTCCGTCATTTCGTCACAGTCATTCTCCGTCCAGCTTTGTTCCCTTGCTGGTGAGGAGTCTTGGTCCTTTCTAGGAGGCGATGTGTTCTGGTTTCGGGTGTTTTCCTCCTTTTTGCGCTGGTTTCTTCCCATCTTTGTGGATTTGTCCGCTGGTCGTCTGCGTAGTTGCTGACTTTTCGTTTGGGTCTCTGAGTGGACACCCAGAATGTTGATGATGAAGTATTTCTGTTGCTTGGTTTTCCTTCTACCAGTCTAGCCCCTTCGCTGTACGACTGTTGAGGTCCGCTCCAGACCCTGCTTGTCTGGGGTGCACCTCTAGTAGCCGTGGCACAGCGAGGGATGCTACCAGTTTCTTTTTCGTCTCTCTTTGTCCCAGGATGATGCCTGCCTAATGACAGTCTTTTGGATATAGAGGGGTCAGGGAGCTGCTTGAGGAGACAGTTTGTATTTTATAGGGGTTTAATTGCTGAACTGTGCACTCTGTTGTTCATTCAGGGCTGTTAGGCTGCTATGTTTGATTCTGCTGCAACACAGCTCATTAAACAACCCTTTTTTTTTTCTCAAATGCTCTGTGTTGAGGGGTTTGGGCTTTATTTTTGGATGTCCGATCAGGTGTCCTGCCCAGCTCAAAGGCAGACTAGCCACTGTTTGGCTGCCAAGGTTCCGCCCTGCTGTTGTGTGATTCGCGCTGTTCCTGCCGGCTCTGCTGTGGTCTCCGCCACGCCCTGCTGCGGAGTCTCTTCGTTGTAGCGTGTTGCCTCAGCAACGGCAGGCTGCGTCAGCAGTGGGCGTGTATCTCAGTAGGGACGGGTTGCCTCAGCAACGGCAGGATGCGTCAGCAGTGGGCGTGTATCTCAGTAGGGACGGGTTGCTTCGGCAACGGCTGGCTGCCTCAGCAGTGGGCGTGTATATCAGTTGGGGCAGGTTGCCTCCCTAGTGGTGGACACCCCTCCCCCACAGAGCGTCTGGGACCGTCTGCCCGGGATAGTTTGAAATCGCGGTTTTGTTTGTCCCACTGGGTATCCCAAACGATCTGTTCCTGCAATCCCCTGGGCTGGGCTACTGTGCAAGTCTCATTCAGTCTCAAGTCCAGCCCTCTCAAGTCTCAGGTTGCCGGTTCAACAAGGCACCCGGACAAGCGCGCCCTGTGGGGATTGCTGGGTAGGGCCGGCCGCCGCCGCCCCGGCTGCCGGCTTCGCCAGGCAGACCTACTGCCTGGCGTCCCGTGTCTTTTTATACTTGGGAGTTTCCCCGTTCTGTGGGCAACAAAGATCAGTCTGGAAATGCAGCACTGACTCACCGTTTGCGAATTCAACGCGGGCTCCAATCCTGGGTTGTTCTCCAATGCAAAATATCCTACCAGAGAAATAATTCTTACATTCATTCATTCATTTATTTATTTATTTGAGACAGTGTCTCACTCTGTCACCAGGCTGAAGTGCAGTGGTGCGATCTCAGCTCAGTGCAACCTCCACCTCCCCGGTTCAAGCGATTCTCCTGCCTCAGCCTCCCAAATAGCTGGGATTACAGGCACCCACCACCACGCCTGGCTAATTTTTATATTTTTAGTAGAGTTGGGGTTTCACCATGTTGGGCAGGATGGTCACAGTTTCTTGACCTTGTGATCCACCCCACTTAGCCTCCCAAAGTGCTGGGATTACAGGCATGAGCCACCACGCCCCGCCTATTTATTTAATTTTTGAGATGGAGTCTTGCTCTGTCACCCAGGCTAGAGTTCGGTGGCGCCATCTTGGCTTACTCCAACCTCTGCCTCCTGGGTTCAAACAATTCTCCTGCCTCAGCTTCCCAAGTAGCTGGGACTCCAGGCATGTGCCACGACGCCCAGCTAATTTTTGTATTTTTAGTAAAGACGGGGTTCCACCATGTTGGCCAGGCTGGTCTCAAACTCCTGACCTTAGGTGATCCACCTGCCTCGGCCTCCCAAAGTGCTGGGATTATAGGGGTGAGCCACAGCCCGGCCAAATAATTCTTACTTTTATAAACGATGCCATGGTAAACCTCTACAAGTACGTTGCTCTTCCCATGTTCTGTGCTGTCATTTTAGGTAAAGAGAGTGTCAGAGGTGATGACAGGGTGTCCACATTTTAATGGGAAAATATCTGTGATCAGCTAATATCTGCCAAATAGACTATAGCAATTTCCTTCCTACCTGTGATCAGCTAATATCTGCCAAATAGACTATAGCAATTTCCTTCCTACCTAAACTATGCAAGGATTATTTCACCACATCTTTGCCAGCTTTGGGAATTGTCTTACAATTTTGTGTTTAAATGAATAACTACAAAAAGTATTACCTGAGAATTTTACCTTGCATGACCACTGAGTGGTCTTTATCCCCAATGTCATGGACATCTGTTAACTCTAAGAATGGGTTTTTTGGGCTGTGGGAGACACTAAGCCAATTCCCTCCCTGTTTCAGCCACCAATGTGGGGCTCACGTCACTGGATCTGAGCTGGAATCACTTTCACACACGGGGAGCTGTAGCCTTGTGCAATGGTCTCCGGGTAAGGCACTCTCCAGGAATGGTGTGTGGAGCCTGAGTGAGGCTAGCCAGGGCCTCCTGCCATCCTAAGCCTCTTCCTCATGGTCACCAATGATGAGGGCATACTGAGATCTCATCAAATGCTTTTCAAGTTATTGGTCTCCCTCCCACAATTCCTGGATGCACATTATTCTTTTTTTCCGAAACAGTCTTACTCTGTGGCCCAGGCTGGAGTGCAGTGGCACAATCTCAGCTCACTTTAACCTCCACCTCCTGGGTTCAAGTGATTCTCCTGCCTCAGCTTCCCGAGTAGCTGGGACTACAGGCGCCTGCCACCATGCTTGGCTAATTTTTGTATTTTTAGTAGAGGGGATTTCACCATATTGGCCAGGCTGGTCTCGAACTCCTGACCTTGTGATCCACCCGCCTTGGCCTCCCAAAGTGCTGAGATTCCAGGTGTGAGTCACCGCACCCGGTCTGCACGTTATTCTTTAGTATAATCATATCTGCTGAGGCCAGGGTGGTGTCTCTGGAGACACTTCAAGAGGGCAGTTTAATTAATGGGCAGTGAATGACAAGAAGCCAAAGGGAGGGAGTCTCATGAATACTCAAAATTGAGCCCTGCTGGGAGCTCTGGAACGATCTGGCAGATCTGTTGCCCCTGGGGACCACTGAGCACCCAGTCAGGATGCCAACACTGGATAGAAATCGGGGCCCTTTTGGTTGGATGAGTCACATGCAACCTTGATGCTGGTGCTTCTCCTCTCTCCCTGGAGGGTAATGTGACCCTGACAAAACTGAACCTCTCCATGAATGGCCTCGGGAATGAGGGAGCCCTGGCCCTAGGGGAGGTTCTCCGACTCAACAGCTGCCTGGTCTACCTGGATGTCAGCGGCAATGACATCAGCAACGAAGGGGCCTCCAAAATCAGCAGAGGATTGGAGTCCAATGAAAGCCTCAAAGTTCTGAAGGTAGTCTTCTGCTGGAAAGGGGTTATTTGTGTGTGTGTGTGTGTGTGTTGGGGTGAGGTGGGGGCTGCATAGTACTGGAGAGAATCATTGGGAACATCTGTACTTCATATATGCATGTATTTTTTTACCATCTCTCGGCTATAAACACAGCAACCATTCTCTGCTCTAAAGCCAGTATCACCATCGGTGCCCCCTGGTGCCCTGCAGGTCTTCCTAACTGGTCTTCTTCCTTCCTCCCATCTGGGTCTCCTTCAGAATCTTCACAACATTGCCAACTGAGTGTGCTTTTTTAATTTTTGAGACAGGGTCTGGCTCTGTCACCCAGGCTGGAGCGCATTGGTGCAATCTCAGCTCACTGCAACCTCCGCCTCCTAGGTTCAAACCATCCTCCCACATCAACCTCCCAGAGTGCTGGGATTACAGGCATGAATCACTGTGCCTAGCCCTCAGAGCATATTTTTGAACACAAACCTGATATGCATTTCCCTTCCCCAGCCCTTCAGTCTTCTCTCTTTTGGCTTAGACCCACTCAAGGCTTTGTGTTGCTCAGACCCGGTTCGCTGAGCACCAAGTGCCCCCCAGCCTCAGTCCACCCGTTGCTCTCCCTTGCTCTGCACCCAAGGCCCCCAGATCTTCTTTCCGCTCCTTTCCTCCTACCACAGGGCTTGGCCACTTCCTCTCCCACTTGCTTGCCTCTGGAATCCTCCGTTTAGGGGAACTGCTCCCAGAGCCCTGCTCCCTACTTCCCATGGAACTTGCTGCCCTTTCTCATTCCATGTATTTGAGGGCTCTTTGCTTGCCTATCAACCCCTTGAATGTGAAAGCTTCATCAGAACGAAGACTGTGTTTAGGCCGGGTACAGTGGCTCACACCTGTAATCCCAGCACTTTGGGAGGCCAGGGTGGGTGGATCTCTTGAGGTCAGGAGTTCAAGACCAGCCTGGTCAACATGGTGAAACCCCATCTCTACTAAAAATACAAAATTATCCAGGCACGGTGGTACATGCTTGTAATCACAGCTACTTGGGAGGCTGAGGCAGAAGAATCACTTGAACCTGGAAGGCGGAGGTTGCAGTGAGCCGAGACCGCGCCATTGCACTCCAGCCTGGGCAACAGAGCAAGACTCCATCTCATAAAAAAGAATGAAGACTGTGTTTGGTTTTGCCCATCATTAAACCCCTCATACGTAGTCCCTCATACCCAGCATAGTGTTGAGTGTGTAGTAGCCCCGTGAATATTCATTAAATGAACATATTAATGAACGTGTATTTCATTTTAAATTAATTTACTTGTAGACACTAATTTATAACATAGATGCTATTTAGCAGTTGGAAAACAGATGCAAGATGAGGACTTATATGAATCGCCCCCCTTTTTGGGGCTCCTGCCAAGAGCCCGCTCTCATTACTTATAATCTAACCTGGTAGTGCAGGCTCTGTTAGCCCCACTTGTCAGATGAGAAAACTGAGGCTGTATAACTTGCTTGAGCCACACAAGTAGCAAGAGGCAGAGGGAAGCCCACTCTACCTGGTTTTCCATGGCAAGTCAGACTCCCTCAGGAGGTGAGGGTGGTTGGAGGGACCACAGATGTGAGGGTCTTGAAGAAGAAAGGAGGAGCCAGTGAGGAAGGGGCTACCTTCTGAGAGGACAACACGAGCAGCTGCTAAGGAGACAGGAGGAAGCCAGATTCCGACAGGCAGAAGGAGCACAGTGACAACAGACCAAACAGACTGGCTGTCCAGGGACCAGGAGATCTGGGAGTTCCAGCTGGGGTAGAGCGGGACCCACCCAGACAGAGACTGACCCAGGCTGTGGGTGGCTTAGCCCCGGTGGCTGAGGAAGCCAGGGACAGTCTGAGAACCTGAATTTTAAAAGACTAATCAGTCGCCTCAGCAAAATGGCAATGGGGTCTTTGCTGTTTTGTGGGTATACATGATTCAAACCATTTTTTACCACTTTTCTCATTTTTCCACAATGACCATATATAATGAATACATTTCAGTTTTCTAAAATGTTTTAGAAGTAAAAGAGAAGAGTTTAAGACAAAACTCTCAGTTTGGCCACCATGGAGACCACATCAACTTTGTTATAGGAATTATCTTTTTTATATATATATATATAAAGACAGGGTTTCACCATGTTGGTCAGGCTGGTCTTGAACTCCCAACCTCAGGTGATCCGCCCGCCTTGGCCTCCAATATGCTTGGATTACAGGCATGAGCCACCACGCCCGGCCTTCTACAGGAATTATGTAGGGGTCTCCACATCCAGCCCTGGTGTCCCTTCCCCTAAGCTTGGAAAAATAAGGAATTCCCATTGGGAAGTGAGTCCAGCAAAGGATTCTAGACGCTGAGCTCCATGAGGTCAGCACTCCAGTCTGCATTTTCTCAAAGGAGTACATCAGAGCCTGGGAAACAGCTAACACATTCTAGTTGCTCAGTAAGAGTTTTGACTGTCTCATGATGAAGCCACTTAGCTGAAAGCCTTCAATAATAAGAACTATTGTTCACTGACTGCATACTGCCTACCAGGCACTCATTTCAATGCTTTGCCTGAGTTAATACGGTAAATCCTCAGAGCAGCCGCAGGTGATAAGTACGAAGTGGTCAGGGAATTAATGCAAGGCCAGGCAGCTGGTAAGCAGAGCCACCAGGCTCCAGAGTCCCTTCTGTTAACTTTTATTCATGCTTCGGCAGCTCCTAGCACCCCTGGGATAATGTCCTTGTTCCTTCTCCACGCCTATAAGGTTCTCCATGATGTGGCCCATCCCAGCTCTGTGGCCTCATTCTCTCTGCTTCTGCCCACCAACATCTCATGCTGTTTCACACCCCTATGCCTTTGCACTTGCCTACTCTTTTCTTCTTTGAATCTTATTTCCTCCTCTGGTTTTGCTCCTTCCTCGTACCTCACTAATCCTCATTAGTCCTGCAAGACTTAGCTCCATGGTCCCCTCCTCTATCCTGCATGCTCCTTTCCTTGCTCCTGCAGTACCCAAGTGTACCTCTGTCTCTGTCGTCAACACACTTCTGATGCTATTGGCTTGTTTGCCTGTCTCCCCCAGTTAGAGTGTTAAGCTACCTGAGGGCAGAAACCTTGCCATGTCTGCCTATGCAATTCTCAGTACTTAGTCCAGAGGCTGGCATATGCAAGCCTCTAATTAATATGTGCTGGCTGGATGGATGAGCAGTGATTAACAAATGGATGGATGGATGGATGAATGGATGGATGACAGGTGAATGGATGAGTAGATGGACAGGTAGATGAATGGATGGATAGATAGATGGTTGAATTAATGAGCAGTTAGATGGACAGATGTGTGGGTGGGTGGATGGATGGATGGATGGATGGATGAGAGGTGGATGGATGAGTAGATGGACAGGTGGATAAATAGATGTTGGGTGGATGAGCAATGACATGGACAGATGGGTGGGTGGGTGGGTGGATATATTGATGGAGGGGAGAGCAGTGAGATGGATAAGTTGGTGGATGGATGGATGGACAGATGGATAGATGGATGGATAAGCAGTGAGATGGATGAGTAGACAGGTGGGTGAATGGATGTATATAGATGGTTGGATGGATGAGCAGTGAGATGAACAGATGGTGGATGGATGGATGGATAGATGGATGAGAGAGCAGTGGGATGGATAAATGGTGGGTAGATAGATGGATAAATTGATGGATGGATGACAGGTGGATGGATCAGCAGATGGACAAGTGGATGGATGGATAGATGGGTGAATGGATGGATGAGCAGTGAGACAGGCAGACAGACAGATAAACAAACAGATGGACAAGGAGATTAGACTTACAGAGAAGTCTGAGTGTGAGACAGAGGTTGTGATTTGTTGAGCTGGAGAGGCTGTGCTCTGGGCCAGCCTCTCCTCCCATCTCCGCCTCCTCTTGTCTTGATTCTCCCTCTATAGCTTTTCCTGAATCCCATAAGTGTAGATGGGGCTCTTTTACTTATCCTGTCTATCAAGAGGAACCCCAAATCCAGGATGGAAGAGCTTGATATTTCTGTAAGTGATCAAATGGTAGTTGCTTGCATCTGCGTGCATGTCAGTGACCCTGTGTGCTTTATACTCTCTGTTGGCCGGAGCCAACAGCTTTATCCCTCACAGGCCCTCACACAAGTGCTCCATGAAAGAGTCACTTCTTTTGTTACAACTCTGCTCTCTCCAGGGATCCTTTTAGAAAGAGTAGCTATTTAGTCAGTAACATCATAGTGAGAAATAATTTACCAGATGCTGGAAACCCAGGCCGTGAACACTGAGAGTAGAGATAAGAAAATGCCAAAAAGAAAAGCAGGAGGACTCCAAAACAGAATTCTTTAACATCAGCTTTGCTAATGAATGGCCCTGGTCCCAGAATGGTTCCAGAATCACAAAATTTATAGACTCTGGATATTAAAACACATACTAAATTTATTTTCATTTCATGAGTTGGCCTGTTATACTCAGAGCAGTATTTGCGGGTGAAAATTTCTTGAGAAAGGAGGAAAGCCCCAGGAGGTGAGCTCAGATCCTGCCGGAAACTCTTGCCTGAATCAGTATACAGGTGGCATCTGATAATAGCCTATACTTATCTACCATTTTATACTCGTTTTTTTTTTCCCCCAAAGTGATTTTATATATGCCAGCTCTTTTTTTTTTTTTTTTTTTTTTTGAGATGGAATCTCACTCTGTCTCCAGGCTGGAGTGCAGTGGCACAATCTCAGTTCACTGCAACCTCCACCTCTCAAGATTCAAGTGATTCTTCTGCCTCAGCCTCCCAAGTAGCTGGGACTACAGGCACATGCCACGACGTCCAGCTAATTTTTGTATTTTCAGGAGAGACGGGGTTTCACCATGTTGGCCAGGATGGTCTTGATCTCTTAACCTCATGATCCTCCCACCTCGGCCTCCCAAATTTCTGGGATTACTGGTGTGAGCCACCATGCCCAGCCGCCAGCTCATTTTTATCCTAGAAGGTAGGCAGAGTACTGTATTAATTTCCTAGGGCTGCTGTGAAGTACCACAGACAGGAGGGCTTAGACGACAGACATATATTGTCTCACAGTTCTGGAGGCTGGAAGTCCAAGTGTAAAGTGTCAGCAGGACTGATTCCTTCTTAGGGCTGTGAGGGGGAATCTGTTCCCGACCAATCCCCTGGCTTCTGTGATTTGATGAGCTGGAGAAGCTGTGCTCTGGGCCAGCCTCTCCTCCCATCTCAGCCTCCTCTTGTCTTGATTGTCCCTCTATAGCTTTTCCTGAATCCCATAAGTGTGGGTGGGGCTGGCATGCCTTGGTGTTCCTTAGCTTGTAGAAGCATCACTCCCATCTCTGCCTTCTGCTTCACAAGGCCTTCTCCCTTTATATAAGGACACAGTCAGATTAGATTAGCACCCACCCTAATTACCTCATTTGAACTTGACCATCTGCAAAGACCCGATTTCCAAACATTCATATTCACAGGTCCTGGGGGTTAGAACTTCCACATCTGTTTTTGGAAGGGAGCCAAATTCAACCCATACCAAGTACTTATCCTCATTTTCCCATTTTACATATAAGGAAACTGAAACAGAGAGTCTCACTCTGTTGCCCAGGCTGGAGTACAGTGGCACAATCTCGGCTCACCTCTGCCTCCTGGGTTCAAGCAATTTTTGTGCTTCAGCTTCCCAAGTAGCTGGGACTATAGGCATATGCCATGCTGGGCTAATATTTTACATTTTTAGTAGAGACAGCGTTTCACCATGTTGGCCAGGCTGGTCTCGAAATCCTGACGTCAAGTGATCCAGCCGCCTCAGCCTCCCAAAGTGCTGGGATTACAGGCATGAGCCACTATATTCAGCCTCCAGTGATGGCATTTTGAATATTTAAACCCAAACTCCTTAGAACTGAATAATTAATACAATGTGGGTTTCTACTTGCTACAGATTTGGAGACATTGTCAAACATAGCTGCTTTTCCTTTTGTTTTGTTCTTTCACCCATCCTCCCTGCCCCAGGCCCTTCTTGGACTTCTGGGTCTTCCTCCCTTTCCCCATCCTCATGCTCCAGTTCTGAATCTGCATGCCAGGATGCTGCCTTCACCTTCCTGAGTCTCTACTGCAGATTCAAGTTTTGTTGGCATTTGTATTTTCCTCTCCCTGGCAATACAGGTTGGAAGACATGGAACCAGACACTGCCTTGGTGTGTTTGAGAGAACATAAGAAATGATGCTATGTAGGCCCTAGATGGCCCATAAACCTGTAAGCTGTGACTACACTGGCACTTAACAAGCCTACCAGAACAAATAGGTCTGAATTAGCCTTTTTTTTTTTTTTTTTTTTTTGAGATGGAGACTCACTCTGTCACCCAGGCTGGAGTGCAGTGGCATAATCTTGGCTCACTGCAACCTCTGCCTCCCAGGTTCAAATGATTCTCCTGCCTCGGTCTTCCGAGTAGCTGGGATTGCAGGTGCCCACCACCAAACCTGGCTACATTTTTCATACTTTTAGTAGAGACGGGGTTTCACCATGTTGGCCAGGCTAGTCTCGAATTCCTGACCTCAAGTGATCCCCCTGCCTCAGCCTCCCAAAATGCTGGATTGCAGGTGTGAGCCATTTTGCTTGGCCTTCATTAGCCTCTCCTTCCCTTTTGTCAACAATGCCGCCATAACTCTGAACAGTATAGAAATTCCTCTTTCGTAGATGCACCTAGAACTTTCTCTAGAATAGCTACAAAGCCGTCTGCCCTTAAGCAGGTGTTTAATTCCTTGGAAGAGCAAAAAATGTACTCCACATCTGAGGAATAAAGCAAGTTGACCAAAGTGGTGGAGCCCAGGTTTCATGAAACTCTATTTCACAGGACACATTTTCTCCCATGTCCTACAAACCAGCCCTGAGGGCACTTCCAGAAGGGCAAGTTTCCAGTTCATTCCGGGTCACTTAATGAAATCAGAGATCCTCTTCCAGGCACTTTCTCTGAAGAACAACACTCATGCAGACATGGACACTTCAGGGCTTTTGTTTAAGGACCATCTTGCCACTCCATAGCTGTATCTCATCTGTCACATGCAGATGCGATCTGAGAGCAGAGCTGAGCTGGCAGCAGGTGACAAGCCACCAGTACTCAACAAAAACATCCCATCAAAATTACACAGGAAACTTACAAGTCAATTCACAAGCTCTAAAACATGCAAACTATCCCAGTCCAGAAGCAGCACTGAGAACAAACTGGAAAAGACAAAACTTCCTGACGTCAGCTTGGGTGGAAGGGGGAGGGTGCACTGGTTGGGCAGGCATGATAGCAGTGTCCTCGTCATCATGGGTCCCCTCTCTCCCTGCCACAGAACGTGCTAGTGTCCGAGCAGTTCGTGAAAACGTTGGACGGAGTGTATGCCGTTCACCCGCAGCTGGACGTGGTGTTCAAGGGAGTACAAGGCCCTTCTGCCAAGAACATCAACTCCTTGTTGACAAACCCCATGAAACTGATCCAGGTGAGCTCCTGCCTTCCTCTCAGGGCCTCTGGGGAGCCCTGGAGAAAGCTGGCCTTTGGCTCCAAATCAGCTTCCAGATGTTCCCTCCCCAACAGTGTCTGTACAACCCTCTCTGATAAGGAATGTCTCAGTGCCTTGGACTACAGACATGGAATATTCTCTGGCTACCAGATCCCTCAGCAGTGCTTCCTGATCCCCAGAGGAAGGGAAGAGCTGAGATCTAGCTGAAGGGGGTGGGTAGACAGGATGGTTTCTCCCACCCAGGTTCTTCCACCTGATAACGTATAACCAAGGGCAAGTCACTGAAGCTCTCTGGGTCACTTCTTTTCACTGGTAGAATGGGCACAACAGTAGCCACCTCAGTAGGGTTGCTTGGAAGATCAAATTATGTAAAATGCATGAAGTGCTTACAAGGATGCCTGGTCTAGAATAAGCACCTGCTTGGCCAGGCGCAGTGGCTCACACTTGTAATCCCAGCACTTTGGGAGGCTGAGGTGGGCAGATCACCTGAGGTCGGGAGTTCAAGAACAGCCTGACCAACATGGAGAAACCAACTCTACTAAAAATACAAAATTAGCTGGGTGTGACGGTGCATGCTTGTAATCCCAGCTACTTGGGAGGCTGAGGCAGGACAATTGCTTGAACCCAGGAGGCGGAGGTTGCGCTGAGCCAAGATCACGCCCATTGCACTCCATCCTAGGCAACAAGACTGAAAGTCCGTCTCAAAAAATGGTAATAATAATAATAAGCACCTGCTTATTATAGACACAGTTTCTTTCCGTCAGCTGGTAAGGATGTCAAGACATCCCTGTGGTCAGATCAGCTATTTGGCAGCTTCAGCACCTCAGTCCTTTGTTTCTAATGGTAACTTGCCCCCAACTCATCTTTTCTTAGATTAGCTCTGGCAGTCACAGGAGGCAGATGTAAAGCTATTCTTTCCAACAGCTGGTAAGAATGTCAAGACATCCCTGTGGTCAGGACAGCTATTTGGCAGCTTCAGCCAAAGAGAGATATTCGAGTCCTTTGTTTCTAATGGTAACTTGCCCCTGACTCATCTTTTCTTAGATTAGCTCTGGCAGTCACAGGAGGCAGATGTAATGGTGGAAATACAAAATCACAGAATATTAGAGCTGAAAGGGATGCAATTGCTCTTCCAGTCCCATTGTCTCACAGATCAGTGCTCAGACCCTGCTCTGGTGTTTCTACTGCAGGCCTCTCACCCTGTGGGGGGTTGCTGGGAGCCTGCTGCTGGCCGCAGAGGGGCTGCTATCTGGGGACCGGGCCTCGGGATGGCATTCTGCCAGTGCATGTTTTGCAGGGTGTCCCTGGCTGCTTTCTGCCCCCGATGGGTCTGCTCTGTGCCTCAGTTTCCAGAAATAAATAAAAGAACTCCCACATGAAAATCATTACGTGAAAAATTCTAAAGGCAAAGTATTTGTATAAGTAAGATGACTTCAGATGGAACCAAGGGCAAACATGTTCTGCAAGGGGAGAGGGTGCTCTAGGGAGCAGGAATGGAGCTATCTGAGGCAAAGTGGGGATCCCGCCTCTTGTTTTGAAGATGCACAGGAAATGAATTTGGAGACCAAGCAAGACATTCAGAGTCAAGCATAGTCCTCCCCTCAGGGGACCAACAATCTGGCTGGAAAGATGGGATGCAAATAGGGATGACCCACAGACCATAGAAAGTTTCATGTGGCCAGGTGCAGTGGCTCACACTTGTACTGGCAGAATGGGCACAACAGTAGCCACCTCAGTGGCTTCTGAACTTCCCAGCACTTTGGGAAGCCGAGGTGGGCAGATCACTTGAGGTCAAGAGTTCAAGACCAGCCTGGCCAACATGATGAAATCCCATCTCTACTAAAAGTACAAAAATTAGCCAGGTGTGGTGGTGGGTGCCTATCATCCCAGCTACTTGGGAGGCTGAGGCACAAGAATCGCTTGAAGCCTGGAGACGGAGGCTGCAGTGAGCTGAAATTGTGCCACTGCACTCCAGCCTGGGCAACAGAGTGAGACTCTGTCTCAAAAAAAAGTGTCATATGATAAATAATAAATAAGTGATGGAGGCAGAAAATGTAGTTGGAATCCAAATAAGAGATCAATGTAGGATTCGGCAACCAGAAAAGGATGACTTCCTGGCAGAGATGGGATTGGGTAAGGGCCTTGAAGAACGTCAGAGATTCAGGTGAGCCACAGAGGGTGAGAGTGTTCTGGGGAGAGGCTCCCGCCAGCAAAGGTGCCAAGCTGGAACCACACGCAGCATGTTCAGGGGACACAAGCACATGACTCCAGGTTCACAGAGGAGCCCAAGAGGCAAAGATGGCAACAGAGGCTGGACTGCAAGGCGCAGCCGTCAGATTTTAGGTTTGAGTTCGGGTTTGATTCTGTCGGGAACAGGGAGCCAGAGAGAACTGTTGGGCAGTGGTTGTGATGTAATCCAGCAGGATTGGGGTTCCAGCAGTGGGGAGTGAACTGAAGAAGATTAAAGAAAACAGTAGGAAAGCCAACAGGCACACCATCGCAGCCCTCTGGATGTGGAATGATGGCTTGGTTGAGAACAGCAATGGAACTGAAGGGCAGATGTAAGAGCTGTCATTATGGAAACATCTCCAGGACTTGGCAAATGGTTGAGTACATGGGTGCGTGTATCGCATGCATGTGGGTGTGCGTGTGTGTGTTGGGATAGAAAGGCCTGTAATGATGAGAAAAACCCAAAGATAACCCAGGATTTCCAGCCCAAGGAACTAAAAGAAAGATTGCCAGAGGCAGGGAAGTGCAGAGAGGGAAGGTGCCTGCCCCCTGGCCCTTCCTGCCTCTCCACGTTTCAGCCCCACTGGATTGCTCCCCAACCCCCTTTGCCTCAGCTCTCTCTTCACTGCAGACCTGTGTACCTGCAGGACAGGCCCTTCCGGCTGGAACACGTTTTTCTCTTGCCTCTGTGTCTCACTCATTCCTACCCATTCTTCTCAGGTCTCTACTCAAATGTCACTTCCTAGGGAAACTCTTCTTGGATTCCCTGGTCAAGAGTGAACACCTTTGCTGTGTGTTCCTGCAGCCCTTGGCTTCACTCTTTCTTTTTCTTTTTCTTTTTTTCTGAGACAGAGTCTCCCTGTATTGCCCAGGCTGGAGTGTGCAATGGCGCAATCTCGGCTCACTGCAACCTCCGCCTCCTGGGTTCAAGCGATTCTCCTGCCTCAGACTCCTGAGTAGCTGGGACTACAGGCATGTACCACCATGCCCGGCTAATTTTTGTATTTTCAGTAGAGATGGGGTTTTTGCCATGTTGGACAGGCTGGTCTCAAACTCTTGACCTCAGGCTATCTGTCCATCTCAGCCTCCCAAAGTGCTCCTAAAGCAGATTATAGGCTTGAGCCACTGCACCTGGCCCAGCTTCACCTTCACCCTTTGATGGCAACCCTGTGAACTCCTCCAGGTCAGGGCTGTGTGGGGTTATAGCAGCGGCACTTACTGAAGTAGCTGGGCAAGGTTCTTAGTTGCTGGCCACAGAATTTACTCCAGCTGTGTTAAGCACACAGGGGTTTATTCCAGGAGAGAGACCACAGAAACGTCAGGACAGCTGAACAAACAGACTCTTGTTAGATTCCAGAAATGGCTCTCAAAACACCCCGACTGGGTTGCCAAGAGGGTGCTGCTTCTGCTGTAATCAAGAAGCTGCATGATTGCAGGATCCCCCGCTCAGTCAGGAAGCAGCCACCGCCACTGCCCGCCACCTGCCTCTCTCAAATCAGACACAAGCCTCACACTTACATCTCAGGCAGGTGCTTGGCAAAGGCCATCCCATTCTGACCCCCAGCTGCAAGGGGGCTTGGGGAATGTCACTTTCAGCTCTGCAGCCTCTGCATGGAAGAGAAGCCTGCTGTGAAAAAACAGCAGCAGGTGCCGAGGGCTCACCCACGGCCTCTGCCATAGCACTCGACAGCAGTGTGCAGGATCGGGGGACAAGATGTACTTTGGCTGTGTTGATTGAGGTGCCCGTGGGGTGTCCAGCAGCTGTTGAAAATAGAGGACTGGAAGTGTAGCTCTGGAGGTCACTCAGGAAGGGTGAGAGGCCGTGTGTTTCAGAAGGAGAAGTGTGGGGAGCAAAGAGCAAAGGTCCCAGGGCTGAGCCCTGAGGAAATGCTCAGTGAGCAGGATGTTGCCAGGAATAGCTATCAATACAACAGGACCTCATCTGGGGCTTCTGAGAGTGGGGGCTGGGGGGTGGCAGGGGGAAGAGAAACAAAAGGATGATTAAAAAGGACCCAAAAGAATATTATAAGGCCGGGTGCAGTAGCTCACACCTATAATCCCAGGACTTTGGGAGGCTGAAGTGGGCAGATCACTTGAGGTCAGGAGTTTGAGACCAGCCTGGCCAATATGGTGAAACCCCATCTCTACTAAAAATACAAAAATTAGCCAGGCGTGGTATCAGATGCCTATAATCCCAGCCACTCGGGAAGCTGAGACAGGAGAATCACTTGAACATGGGGCAGAGGTTGCAGTGAGCCAAGATCACACCACTGCACTCCAGCCTGCGATAGAGTGAGATTCCATCTCAAAAATAAAAAGATACTGTTTTAAAAATAGTCTGACAAAGTGCATTTCCATATGAGCATTGATGTGAAACTGTGAGAATCCTAGGAATTCATAGAGCCATAATCATATTACGCAGCTGTGGTTTAACCTATTGATCTCCAACCATCCACCTGCTATCCACAGCACACCGTCTATACCAGTGTTAACAGATCATGTGTGTAGATAGGATCACTGCCCCCATCCTCTTGACACTGCGGCGCCTGAGCAGCCTTGACTTCCGTCCTTCCACCTTTAATGGAGAAAGCACTGTGCGGTACCAGGGGGCTCCTGGAAGCCTGGCGAGCACACAAGAACCATCCTGGCATGCACCCTTGCCAGGCCTGGCGGGCCTACACTTGGCTCTTGGTCTTAGGGGACAGCCAACACCCGGGAGACGCAGGCTCCTCACCTTGGCCTTCTGCCCTTCTCAGCCACCTGGAAGCGTGGGCCGGCCTTTGGGGAAGGGAAGGGGGAGTTGTGATCGATTTCAGACAGCCAAGTGTTTCAAGAACAGAAAACCAAACACCGCATGTTCTCGCTCATAGGCGGGTGTTGAACAATGAGAACACAAGCACAGGGAGGGGAGCATCACACACTGGGGTCTGTTGAGGGGGGCTAGGGGAGGGACAGCAGGGGGTGAGGAGGTTGGGGAGGGATAACATGGGGAGAAATGCCAAATATAGGTGACAGGGGGATGGAGGCAGCAAACCACCTTGCCATGTATGTGCCTATGCAACAATCCTGCATGATCTGCACATGTACCCCAGAACCTAAAGTGCAATAAGAAAAAAAAGAAAGAAAGAAAGAAAGCCAAGTGTTTGCTCCTGGTCTCTCCGGCTTCTCTCAGAGCTATGCTGACCGGCACGGAATCACGGTGGAAGACTTCTTCAAGAGCCTGAACCCTACCGGGACAACGAGGATGTCTGTTGGCGACTTCCAGAAAGTGATGATAGAGGTGTGCTGGGTCCTATGGCCTCAGGCTGCGTGTGAGCATGAGTGTGTGTGTGTGTGTGTGTGTGTGTGTGTCTCAGAGAGAGGGAGCAAGGAGGGGGAGAAGCCGAAGAGCTTGTGAGCACTTCCTAGAGCCTCCTGGGACTGTCTGTGGGACACTCCCCTCATTTCTCCAGGCCCAGAGGGGAGCCCAAGACCTCCCCAACCCCGGCTGAAGTCATTCCTGTGCTGTGGCTTGATGCCACCAATGACCCAAGATACCACCCAGAGACATATGTTCTATATGAAGGTCTTTCTCCCCATTGCATTTCACTACTGTGCAGATAATAAAGGAAATGAGAGGAGACCACATCCCAGAGGCCCAATAGTTCCACCTTGGGCCTGTCATTTTGCCTGAAATCCCACATTCCTCTCACTCCTCATGTCATAAAGGTGCTAAAAGCCCCCTGTAATGCATATCTGAAGGGAGCATCCCAGGAGAGAACATACCCTGCAGGAACAGGACTCCAGAGGAGAAGTTCCTGGGGGCCCGGGCAGGGACCAGTAAGACAGTCGGTGCCCGGTGCCCAGTGCCCAGTGCCCAGCCCAGAGGTGAAGAGGCTGGCCAGGACCCAATGGCAGGGAGTGAGAATGAACTTCACAGGCTGCAAAGAAGAGTCCTGCCCCCTCCCCCGGCCACTCACTCCACCTAACTCTGATCTCCTCCTCCCTTATTGCCCCCAGAAAAGGAAGGCCCTTTGCAGTCTGAACAATGGCACATGGACAGGGAGCTTTCTCCAGCCCCTCCATGCTACGAAATCAGTTTCCCCTGAGCTCTCAATCAGTCGCCATCCATCCACAGTCCCAGGAGGAGTGAGGCATTGTATGGGGAGTGTGTGTGCATGTGTGGAGGCAGTGGGGAGGTGCCTAGGGTGGGGGTGAACCGAGTTCTATTAACTGCACGTGTTCTCTCCTCCTCCTCAGCAAAACAAGGTCCCTCTGAACCGGTACCAGGTCAGGGAGGTGATAAAGAGGCTGGATGAGAAGACAGGCATGGTGAACTTCAGGTCAGCCCAGGCCCCGCGATGCTCCCTGTTCCCTGCACAGCCCTGGCTGGGTTAACGGGAGCTCCTCTGGCCGCCCTGTCTATACTTTCTCACTTGGAGCCTCACCCACCCACCTGTTCCTTGCATGCCAAGGCCAGGCTGCACTGCCTACCCTCCTTCTCATTCCCAGTTCACTTCTTTAGCAAAACTTGAGCCCAGTCCGTCGCTGCTGGCTGCTCTGCTGGAGGCTGGGTGAAGCCATCGGGAGGAGCCAGAGCCCACACTCACAGCCCAGGAACAGGGTCAGCAATGGATCTTTAGGCCCCAGTGAGAGGAGCCATAGATGTGTGTGCCAGGTGCCTCTGCAGCCCAAAGAGGAGGCAGCAATGTTTCAGCCCAGTCTGGCAAGACAGAGACCTAGACAGAGGGCAGAGGCACACGGTGCGTTAGGGACTACAGGTCCCTCTGCTCTGCCGTCAGTTGGCAAGTGAGAAACGTTGTATCTTAGGCCGAACTCCTTGAAGAGAGAGAGAAGGTCTGTGATGCTGGTGATGCCAGTAAGCAACCTATACCAAGCCCACCACATGCCTGGCCTCTCCCACTTGCCAGACAAGCACATTCTGCAGCCTCACGGTGCCCCATGGCAGTACCGCCATCAACCACTTAGCAGGTGATGAAACAGGGCTCTAGTAAGTGCAGCAAAGAAGCCGGGTTCCCCGGGCGCTGTAGCTCAAGCCTGTCATCCCTGCACTTGGGGGGGCCCGAAACAGGGGGATCCCTTGAGCCCAGAAGTTTGAGACAAGTCTGGGCAAGACGGCGAGACCCCCCTGTCTCTGCTAAAAACCAAAACCACATTAGTCGAGCATGGCGGTGCATGCCTGAAGTCCCAGCTACTCGGGAGGCTGAAGTAAGGGGATCGCTTGAGCCCAGGAGGCAGAGACTGCAGTGAGTTGAGATTGCACCACTGCACTCCAGCCTGGTGACAAAGTGAGACCCTGTCTCAAAAGAAAGAAGAAAGAAAAGAAAGGAAAGGAAAGGAAAGAAAGAAAAGAGAGAGAGAAGAAAGAAAGAAAAGAGAGAGAGAGAAAGAAAGAAAGGAAGAAGAAAGAAAGGAGAGAGAGAAAGAAAGAAGAAAGAAAGAAAGAAAGAAAGAAAGAAAGAAACAAAGAAAGAAAGAAAGAAAGAAAGAAAGAAGAAAGGAAGGAGGGCGGGAGGGAAGGAAGGGAGGCAGGGAGGGAGGGAGGGAGAGTGGGCGGGAGGGAGGGAAAGCAGCCAAGTTCTCACAGCTCTGACCATGACTCCAGGCCCGAGGAGTCCACAGCTGTTCTGTCTCTTACTGTGCTAGACCTCTTAGCCCAGGCACAGAACACAGTGGCCCCTGACAAGCATGAGTCTGCAGCTGGGCTCCACTCCATCTCAGTGGCTCTGTGGCTGGCCTATGTTCCTAGGAGCTTCTGCTGGACATGGCCCCGCCTCCTCTGGCCCTGCCCCACGAGCTTTCCCCCAGAACCTCTTTGCCCCACTCAGCGTCCTCCACGTGAAGAAACCACGATGCAGACAGGAAAGGCAATCCGACCTAGCTGCAAGCCCCACTCTGCTGAACAAGGCTGCGGCTGTGCACGGGGCTCCTGTCCCTTTAAAATGGGGAGAGAGATAACCGTGGCCCCAGGGAGGAGGTTGTAAGGAGTGAGTGGGGGAAATGCACAGGGGAAATGCATGCAGGGGCTGGCACGGGGGTGTCACTCGGTGGTGACACTGACATCCAGCAAGGGCACCCCAAGGGTGGCTTAGGCCCGCCTGCTACCATCGTGCCTCCCACTCTTGTGCTGCCCAGTGGCCTATCCCATGCCTCCTCACTTGCCCCTCTACCTAAAGTGGCACCTCTTGTTCCTGGGGAAGCTAATGCCAAGTGCCCATTTCAGAGGCTCCAGACCAGGTCCCATGCCCAGGGTTTGCAGGCAAGGTCACGTGGCCATTGAGAGACAGAACTGGGGTCTAGGTCCCTGAGTCTCAACATCTGAGCAGGAGGCCCTTGGGGCCACCTCAAATTGCCCCTCATATCACACACTGCCACTGTTTTTTAATTTTTATTTTAATTTTTATTTTATTATCTGTTTTTTGAGACAGAGTTTCGCTCTTGTTGCCCAGGCTGGAGTGCAATGGCTCGATCTCGGCTCACTGCAACCTCCGCCTCCTGGGTTCAAACAAGTCTCCTGCCTCAGCCTCCTGAGTAGCTGGGATCACAGGCGTGTGTCACCACGCCCGGCTAATTTTGTATTTTTAGTACAGATGGGATTTCTCCATGTTCATCAGGCCAGTCTCGAACTCCTGACCTCAGGTGATCCACATACCTCGGCCTCCCAAAGTGCTAGAATTACAGGCGTTAGCCACCATGCCTGGCTTACACTGCCACTTTATCAGCTCTGATTGAAGAGCAGAGAACAGAGTTTTAATTTTTTTTTTTTTTTTTTGAGATGGAGCCTCACTCTGTTGCCCAGGCTGGAATGCAATGGCGAGATATTGGCTCACTGTAACCTCTGCCTCCTGGTTCAAGTGATTCTTCTGCTTCAGCCCCCCAAGTAGCTGAGATTACAGGCTCCCATAACCATGCCTGGCTAATTTTTGTATTTTTAGTAGAGACGGGGTTTCACCATGTTGGTCAGGCAAATCTCAAACTCCTGACCTCAGGTAATCTGCCCACCTCGGCCTCCCAAAGTGCTGGGATTACAGACATGAGCCACCACGCCTGGCCCAGAGTTTTAATTTTTACTGTTGCATGAATCCTTTTTATTTTTAATGTTACAAATAATACCTCATATAAATTCTAAACCCACAGAAGGATAGCAAGGAAAAAAATGAAGGTTTATTTTTATCTCCCTCCATAGTTCGCTCTGCCTCCCCAAAGGCTCTTGCAAACAACTTTAGGTGCACATTTGCATGCCTTTCCAACGTACTTCTAATAAGCATGTGTGTGTGTGTGTGTGTGTGTGTGTGTTCGTGCATGTATGTAGCGGGGAGATATAATGGTTAGCAACATGACCTCTAGGGCCGAGATGGCTTTACAAATGGTCTACTTTGGATTTGAGCCTGTCTTAACATTCTGTCCCATCAGCCACAAGGCTGTACAGGTGCTCAGCATCTTTCTCTTACCTTTCATATCAGTTTCTTGAAGACAGTGAAGCCGTAGCAACAAGTCTGGTCTGGAAAGAAGTCTTGGCGAGAGAAGTCCCGGCAAGTTGGATGGTGGCAGGGAGGAGACCAACAGGTGGCCGAAATCTCGATGGACAGATGCCGTGGCCAGCGCTGGGCACAAGCAAATAAAGTCTGGCTTGGTGCTGGGTGTCCTGGGCTGCTGGTGGTATGCCCGTCACCAGGGGGAACCACCTTTTGCTTTTAGTGACCACCGGGGACATGTTGGTGCAGCCTGGTTAAGAGCTGCACAGACAATTGGGAACGTGATGGGTTTGCTAGGCAGCAGGGAAAGAGCCTCAGGAAACAGGTCGGGGCCGAGGGCAGTAGTCACAGCAATTAGCAACAGAGTCCGGGGAGACCTCCTTGGTGGGAGGCAGTGGCGGGGGAACAGATGCTGAGGGAAGAAAGGCAGGGGCTTTATTTATTTATTTTTTTTTGAGACCGAGTCTCGCTCTGTCACCCAGACTGGAGTCCAATGGTGTGATCTCAGCTCACTGCAACCTCTGCCTCCCGGGTTCAAGTGTTTCTCCTGCCTCAGCCTCCTGAGTGGCTGAGATTACAGGCACCCACCATCACACCCAGCTAAATTTTGTATTTTTAGTAGAGACAGGGTTTCATCAGGTTGGCCAGCCTGGTCTCAAACTCCTGACCTCAGGTGATCCACCCTCATCAGCCTCCCAAAGTGCCAGGATTACAGGCATGAGCCACCACACCCAGTCACAGGGGCCTTTAGGAAGCAAACAAATGCTGTGGGGTCACAAGGAGTGGCCAGGATGGGAGACCAAGAGAATGGGCATCTCATCCTGGCCACATAACCTTGGAGCCTGGGTGGCTCCCCTTGAAAATGGAGCAGCTGAAATAAAGCCTTCCCAGTTCATGCTAGGAGTCTATCATTCTGCATTTCACCTTTAAATTCCTTGGGAAACTGGGGAGACAGAAAGAGCTTAGCGAAGAAAAGAAACAGCCAAGAACAGCAGTCACTGATTAGGTGGGTGGAATAGGCACTCTCGGGAGCTTTGACGCACCAGAGAAGGGTCTAGGAACCAAGTCACCATCCCCTGCGTTTCACTTGGCTTCACCAAGGGTGGAGGTAAACACCAAGACCCCTCTGCACATGCAGCAGAATATTGGAAATAATTTATGTCCTGACTCATGTGCTATATTTCCCCCTATTCTCTTCCTTATTAAAATCTTAGCTTTGCCAGTAGTGGTGGTTCATGCCTATAATTCCAGCAGTTTGGTTGGCTGAGGTGGGAGGATCATGGGGTCAGGAGTTCAAGACTAGCCTGGCCAAGATGGTGAAACCCCCGTCTCTACTGAAATACAAAAATTATCCAGGCATGATGGTGGGTGCCTGTAATCCCAGCTACTCAAGAGCCTGAGGCAGAGAACTGCTTGATCCCAGGAGGCAGGGGTTGCAGTGAGCCGAGATCGCGCCACTGCACTCCAGCCTGGGTGACAGAGCGAGATTCTGTCTCAAAAAAAAAAAAAAAATCTTAGCCTTTGTGAGGTTTAGGTACAGGGTAGGAGTTTCTAACAAGACTCATCCCTCCCTAGTGCCCATTTCCCCCAGCCTAAGCTTACTGGGGAGAACAGAACAGAGAAGGGTGAGAAGGGTGAGTCACAGCAGCCCCCAGAGGAGCTTCCCCAGCACTGCTGGGAGGAGAGGGAGGCCTTCAAGTATGGCAGAACCTCAGAGCAAGTAGCTGAGCTGTGCCCTGGAGGCTGACTGTTGGTCTGGGCTCCCAGTCTGGCAGAGCTCCCTTGCCCCAAACATAGCATGAGGTCAGCAGAACAGCAGCTTTCAGGGACCTCCTGGGCTGGAACAAAAGACCCCCAGCAATAATCAGTGTGGACTAGTGACCAATAGGCAGAGGGCCTCTCCTGACAAGTGGGCACCCTGGAGGCTCACTGGCACCACCCTGAGCACGTTCCTGAAATGGAATTTCCATCAACTTGGTGGATTAGGGGCTCGAAGTCAAAATGAGGATGATGAAGGGAATATAAAAAAACACAAAGGCTGGGTGCAGTGGCTCCAGGCTGTAATCTCAGCACTTTGGGAAGCCGAGGCAGGCAGATCATCTGAGGTCAGGAGTTCGAGACCAGCCTGGCCAAGATGGTGAAACCCTGTCTCTACTAAAAATACAAAAATTAGCTGGGCATGGTGGCAGGTGCCTGTAATCCCATCTACTCAAGAGGCTGAGGCAGGAGAATCACTTTCACTTGAACCCAGAAGGCAGAGGTTGCAGTGAGCTGAGATTGCGCCATTGTACTCCAGCCTGGGCGAGAAAAGTGAAACTGTTTAACAAAAAAAAAAAAGAATACTCTGTAGATATCTGCTCTATCTACCCAAATAAAGTGAAGTCCTTGACGTATGGGATCATGTCTCCTTTTTCTGAGACAGAGTCTCGCTCTGTCACCCAGGCTGGAGTGCAATGGCATGAACACAGCTAACTGCGACCTCCAGATTCAAGCAATTCTCGTGCCTCATTCTCCCAAGAAACTGGGATTACAGGCTTGCGCCACCATGCACAGCGAATTTTTTATATTTTTAGTGGGGACAGTGTTTCCCTATGTTGACCAGGTTGGTCTTGAACTCCTGGCCTCAAGTGATCTGCCTGCCTCAGCCTCTTAAAATTCTGGGATTACAGGTGCGAGCCACCTGTAATGGGATGAGATCCTGTCTTTTAAATCTGTTATAATCCATAAAATTCTCCAGTTCCCCTGCCTGTAACTGAGTGTCCCATCAACGTTGGTGCCCAGGTGGAACCCTGAGGGTTATGTGTGGGCAAGGAAAGGCTATGAAATATCAAAATGTGTCATGGACAAGTTACAAATTTGTAATGTTTATGGATCAATAAAAACACATTTTTTCAAGACGATTTTGTTCTCGTCTTTTGAATAAAATGGAAAAGGCAGCAATTGTTCTTATCAAATCTTATTTTTGTTTAGGTGGCTTTGGGGAGATGATGGAGATTACAGGAAAGTTAAAATCTTCCCCACCTGCCACCCAAACCCTCCAGGCCACCCCTTGACTTTCAAGTAAGCCCAGCTGCCTCAGCGGCCCTGGGAGCCGCCAGAGGTAGAGTAATCCCCACTTACGGCCGCTAGGTGTCAGGTCAGCTCCAAAAGTCCTCGGGAGAATTGTGCTTTGCCTTCTAAACGTGGGGCGTCTTTGCAATGCACTTTCTCTAACCTCCCAAACTTCTGCTCCTGAGAAACGCCAGCTTGGAATCTGCGCCTCGGAAGACGCAGCAGCCCAACCCCTGGGCCGACCTCTCCAAGTCTCCGTGTCATTGTGACCACCTTCCACCCTTGTGAGGAAGAAAACCAGGTACCCGGGAAGAGCTCCATGAATATTCATTCCCCTCTTCCAGGCAGCCCGCCCTGGAGCTGGGCAGAGCTCAGAAGCGAGTCCTGCTCCACTGGGGCAGGACTGCACAAGCACTTGTCAGCTTGGCAGGTCAGGAGGCAAGCAGGCAGGAGGACCCCCGCAGCGGCTGCAGCGCTCCCATGGAGGATGATGCAGGAGTAGAGGGGCCTTGCCGGAGCAAGAGGGGCGTCAGGGTCAAAGACAGCTCAGAGGCACGGGCCCAACCTCCGAAGGCGGTCAGGCTGCAGCCCAGGGAGAGGGCACCCTGGGCTTGCTGTCCCTCCATACCCAACTCAGTGCGGCTTCATCACTCACTCCTTGCGTCCTGTTGGAAATAGATGCTCAGTGCTGCAAAGAAAAATCAGCACTGAGACAAGGGGTCTTTCAGCAACGTGATTTTTCCCTCCTGGACTGCACCATCGTGCCACAAGAGTACAATGAACAAAGGAAAACACAAATTTATCCCTTATGCATTTGGGGTCATCCTTACTGCTGTAGCTGATCTCTGTTGGCTGGAGCCAGACCTCACAATCTAAACTAAAACCCCATTGGCTAACAACTTAAAACTTTTCTAATCAGGTAAAAGCCATGGAGAGCTGGGACATGGCTGTGAGCACGTCCAGCACAGATATCTTGGTTAAAGTACATAGAATGTACTATGTGCCTATAAGCATGGCATATCTAACAGCTACATAGGATAGGGCTTAACAAAGAGTTATTAGCACACTTATGATTTATTCTTTAACAAGAAAGGAAACTTTAAAAAGGAGTTTTTCTATTTCCCACACATGCTCATGGTGATTCTGCATGGTGAGCACTGTATAATCCCCATTTTGGAGGCCAGGTGTGGTGGCTTACGCCTGTAATCCTAGCACTTTGGAAGGCAAAGGTGAGTAGATCATGAGGTCAAGAGATCAAGACCGTCCTGGCCATCATGGTGAAACCCTGTCTCTACTAAAAATGCAAAAGTTATCTGGGTGTGGTGGCTCATGTCTGTAGAATCGCTTGAACCCAGGAGGCAAAGGTTGCAGTGAGCCAAAATCACGCCACTGCACTCCAGCCTGGCCACAGAGCAAGACTTTGGCTCAAAAAAAAAAAAACATTTGCAGCCAGGGAAATGGGGGGCATGGAGAAGTTAAGCATCTTGCCCAGCCAGTAAGTAGCAAGGCCAAGATCCAGGCCCTGGCAATATGGCTATGGCTCCCTGAGGGCTTAGCCACGATGCCTCCCTGCCCCTCTGCCACGCTGAACTGGCTAACGGAAGGGGGCAAAGGCTGAGATGATGCCCTGTTGTGCCAAATTCTAAGGGCAGGTTGATGCATTCTCCCCACTTCTGCATGGCTTGGAAGCTGTGCTGGGTGTGGTCCAGTGGGAGGAGTGTGGATACCTGTGCACTAGAACTGTGAATGGGTTAAGCCTGTGAATTCTGGCATTTGACACTTCTGGGTTTGAATTCTGTTTGGCTTCACCAGTGACCATCTCTGTGACTGAGCAATTCATTTATCTTCTCCGAATCTCAGTTTGCTCATCTGTAAAAGGGAATGATAGTGGTACCACCTCCTCTATGGGGTGTGTTTTCTGTGGCTAGAGCAGATGGAGAGGAGGAGAGCGTGGTGGGAGTGAGTTCAGAGGGAACGTGGCCAGGTCAGGTGGGGCCTTGATGGCCATCGGAGGACGTGGCTGTGAAGATTTAATGAAATTACACACATGAAACACCAAACCCAAGGCCTGGCATACCAGAAGTGCCTAATATAAGCATGCCCTCCTTACAGTGGTATTCCACTCCTAAGAGGGAGAGGTAAGAGGGGCTGGGGGAGCAGCAGAGCCCAGGAGGGGCCAAACTGAGCAGCCATCTTTGAGACACCCAACTAATAGGTGTTGGCAATTCCACAGGAGGTGTTCCAATCTCAGGCTATGGCTTCAGACTCTAATAAAAACTGAAGAATCTGTCCAGGGTCTTGGAGGCGGGGTGGGAAGGCCAGGGGCCGGCAGCACTGGGGGGTGTGGTGTGGGCAGCGCAGGATCACAGGCCTGAAAGAACAGAAGACACAGAGACATCCTGCTTTTTTTTCGGCTGCCCTCCTGAGCTGAAAATGCCCCACCTTACAAGTCTCAGGGACAAGCTGGGACATTAGATCATGCCTACCCAGATATCCACTCCAAATACAGAAGCTGGCACCAAAGTACCAAGGGCCACAGAGAATTCCCTGTGGTAGCTGCAGCGCTGAAGCTCAGTGGAGTGCCCGGGGTAGTGGGTCATTCATGGTCCCGGGCCTGCAGGTTCATGATATGAACGGCAGCCTCTGGTGTCTGACTGTGGTGGCAGCTTCGGTGTCCTCAGGGGACCAGGCCTGCCTTGTCAAGAAGGGGCTTGGGATTTGTTTTGTTTTGTTTTTAAACAAAAGAACACAATGATTGGCAAGGCCAGTCTGTGCCCTAAACATGGGTTCCTGCCCAGTGGCCTCCAACTTTTCTTCAGGAAGCAGGCATCATGGAGGGGAGGGAACCCAAGGGCAGCTGGGGTGAGGCTGCCTCGGGCCGGGGCTCCTTTTAAGGAAGGTCAGTGCAGGAACTCTCAGAGGGCTTCGGCTCGTTTTGCCACCACCCTGGGGAGTATGTGGATGAAGCAAAGTGACTGGCTAAATGCTGTGGCGTCCAAGCTACCGGAGACATGACTCTTGTGCCTGTGTGGATGTGTTATTTAATGACAAAGAATGTCATTGGTCTTCTTCCCGATTCTTGGCACGGAGCTTCAGAAACCCTTGGAATTTCCTGAAAGATGAAAATCTTCATTATGCCAATGAGGTGGCTCAGGGTGGACCCCTGCATCACTTTAGGCAGGGGCTGGTCACCAGAAAGACCGCCCACAGGATTAAAGGTTGGGACTTTCAGCCAACCGACTTCCAGGAATGAGGGAGGGGGCTGGAGATTGAGTTTATCCTGCGGCCAGTGATTGGTCAGTCAAGCGTAGGCAGTGGAACCCCAATAAACACTCTGCACGCTGAGGCTCTGCGGAACTTCCTGGTTGGTAAACACACTGAGATGCCAGAGGCTGGCGATCCCTGATTCCATGGAGAGAGGACAGGGAAGCCGTGTGCTCCCTCCAGTCCTTGCTCTCTGTTGCTCTTCGTGTGCCTGTTCCCGAGCTGTACCTTTATAATAAAGCTGTGATTTTGTAGGCACAGTATTGTGCTTTCAGTGAGCTTTGAGTCATTCCAGCAATTTTTCAAAACTGGAGAAGCAGGGGATGCTTAAATGTGCAGGTGGTCTAGGGACCCTACGTGCCCCTGGCACTAAAAGAAGGACTGAGCCCTGAAACCAAAGTCGGCTGCCCCCCCTCGGGGTGGGTACCCTGCTGCCCACTCCTGGCTGTACCTCTACTTTCCCAGCAGAGGGTGCTCCAACCTCACAAGTCCCCCACCTCTGCACCCTTTTCCAGGGATCAGTGTGAGATGCACGTAAGAAAACAGGACCCCCCACTGGCTCAGGGAAATCAAATTCTCATTAGGTGCCCTCAGAAACACAGTAATGCAGCCGGCTTCAGTGACACAGATCGCACCGGCAGAGCCTTCAACCTCCCTGCAACATCCAGGTTCTGTGGAAGCTGAGTTCATACAACTTAGGGGCCCTCTTAAAAAAAAAAAAAAAATACATACAACCTCCAGAAATTTTTTATGCCCTAAAGAAAAAAAGAAAAAAAAATACAGTCTGGTGTGGTGGCTCATGCCTGTAATGCAAGCACTTTGGGAGGCAGAGACAGTTGGATCACAAGGTTAGGAGTTCAAGACCAGCCTGGCCAAGGTAGTGAAATGCGATATCTACTAAAAATACAAAAATTAGCCGGGCATGGTCGAGGGCTCTTGTAATCCCAGCAACTCAGGAGGCTGAGGCAGAGAATTGCTTGAACCCGGGAGGTGGAAGTTACAGTGAGCCGAGATCTCAGCACTGCACTCCAGCCTGGGTGACAGAGTGAGACTCCGTCTCAAAATAAAATAAAATACAAAATCACAAATACAACATTAAGGATAGAAAGTGGATATTTAGAACGAGAGGGAAGAATCACAACAAATGGCACATTTTCTTAAAGCTGACAAGACCATAAGCATCCAATCCCACCAGGGCCTTGGAAGGGCCCTCATTGCAGTGGGGGTCCCTGCATCTTGCATTTTCTCAGCAACTCTGCCCCACCTGCTGCATCCAGAAGCTGCAGGAAGGGAAGTCCAGGCAGCAACCATACACCTTCCTGTTACAGAGACTGATTTTCTTCTTAAGCCCACCTTGCCAAGAAAAAGGGTTGGGTCCGGGCGTAGTAGCTCACGCCTATAATCCCCGCACTTTGGGAGTCCAAGTTAGGTGGATCACAAGGTCAGGAGTTCAAGACCAGACTGACTAACATGGTGAAACCCTGTCTCTACTAAAAATACAAAAATTAGCCAGTATACTGGCAGGCGCCTGTAATCCCAGCTACTCAGGAGGCTGGGGCAG